GGGGGAGGTTTGGGAGACAACTAATATTTCTGTCTAAAGTCATTCCAAATGAACTATAGTTTTGACGTCTTCATTATTATTCAATTATGTGGAAAACGGTAAGTTCCATTCTATGAGTAGATGTGTCCAAACATTTGTAATTATTGAATTAACCCCTTAAATGGCCATTACATACTTCTGTAACCTAAGAATAGCCAGTGTGCTCTGATGTCCCTGTAGTTACTGCATAATAAGCCTTAGCATGTAATAAGCCTGAGATATTAAGGGGTTAAACATTCCCCTGAGGCTGAAGTCTGTACCAGCTGCATGTGTGAACAAGCTGTGAGCACATCATAGACCAGTGAACACTTACCTTCTACCTGCTGAACGAAACATTCAGTCCCTAGAGGCGCATCAGTACAGTGGACTCTGACCTTATGCCGCCTCTGTGTCAGGAATAGGAGTATGAAAATGCAGAAATGGAAAGTTTATCAATAAATGACAAATACATTTTTTCTACAACAACACCATATGGCTGGAAAACTGTTTATCAAATACATACAAAGAAGAAAATGCTTTTTAAAGAAGAAGAAATGACATGAAGGTATTACAACTGCTCCAGTTCAAACGAATGAATCTTTTTAATCTTATAATGAGTTTTGTGTAATAAACAAAAAGAAAAAAAGACAAAATCACACATAGACCTTCTGAAGACACTTTATGATGTTTTTATGCTCGTCTAAGTATGTGTAGATCAGTTTGCTGGTTAGCTCTCTCATTTTTTACACCTCACACAATCCTCCACATTGGTGTCCTTGCATTGGTCCAGTTCTAAAATGGACAGTGTTTGCAAAACCTGCCAGCTGAAGGCCAATTAACAACACAGCTCTGAATGCTAGAAGTGATGGTTAACAACCAGAAGAAATGTGTTTTGAAGCTCCAGCGACCTTTTTTACACTGTCGCTTTTTGTAAGTAACAAATGAAAAGCCTTATGTATGGGTCATGAAGGCGTGAGAATGCACTCTAAGCTCCTGAGGCATATCTCTAAGAATAAATGCACATAGGCAACACTACTGTTGTACACAAAATTGTCTTAAAATAATAATATAACATTAATAAAGTTTAAAATATCATTGCACTTTTATTTACTCCCGTGAAAAAACAGAAATTTCCAAAACTAGAGTTGAAAAATGTATTAATAGATATAGAGAAAATGGGGCTTCAAACATCCGTGCAAGACCTGGTAGACCAAAGAAAACTGTCAACATCAGACTTAAAGCTTACATTTTTGAGAGAGGAGAAAGTCGAACTCCACTCCACAGGTGTTTCTGTTCATCCTTCCACTGTGAGAAGCCAACTCAGCGCTATGAGTCTGAAAGGATGTGGAGCTGTAAAGAAGTCATTACTGAGAAAAAGAAATAGACAAAAAGAAGCACATCGAAGCTGCTGGTGTTCTCAGAACAATGGACTGGCCATCCCAAAGTCCAGACCTAAACATTACTGGATGTATTTGAAATTATTTTGATCTTGAGAAGCAGAAAAATATCCCTGTACGTTTCTTTTAAACACTGACTGCTTTCTTTCTTGCATTCAATGTAACCTTTGAAAAGGGAAAAAATACATTATGTTACAGGTAAAGAGGACTTGAAAATGACATCAGTGAAGGTTACAACACTTACAACACTTTAGAGTATAACAGACTATAAACATCCTGTGGTAAATCTCAGTGTATGTGCTTCAAAATGATACATCACAAGCAGTGTAGCAGTAATGACTTATGTAAAGCTTTAGATGTAAGAGCGAGAGCTAGAGACATCACAGCGCTCTCTTTTTCACTGAACCCTGGAGTGGCAGGCTGCATATAAGGCTCTGCTCTCTGTGTGCAGTTTTGAAGACAAAAAAATAATACAGTCAGCCACGATAAGCAGCAGCTCTCCTTGATCACAACCTCCTCTTAATCCGAGAGACTGCGTTTGTGGCCTACGCTCGGGCTGGCGAAGGCCAATGATAAAAGGGTTGGCTCTACCGCGTCTGAAATCATCAGCAGGATCAGTGAACTAATGCCATCAGAGAGAGCGAGAAGAGAAGAGACCGAGCCGAAATGAGAGGGAGATGGTGATAAGCAAATCTGATGGAGGGGGCTGTTGCCTCCCATTCTGAGGAACTCATCTAATTTTATCTGTCCATCTTCTCCATCTTGGCACAACAGCTCTCAATCCTCGATGAAGGGAAGAGTCATGGGGGGCAAAAAGAGGCTGTTTTCCACCCTTTTCTGAAAATGACTTTTGGCAGTGACTCATAATTGTGAGATCCACGCATGGAATGAACAAAGGAGGGAACAAAAGGGACGGAGGCGATTAAGATCAAATCCTGCATAACGGATATGTGTTATTAAGTTTTTAATATGGACTGCTCAGAGGGGCAGAGGCACATGGAGGCAGAGAGAGAAAGAGAGAGAGGGAGGGAGGGAGTGAGTGCACTGGTGCTCGCGTGAATGCTGTCAGAAGCCTCATTTCATTGAATGACACCTCAGTTTTGTGATGGCTTATCAGCCGTGGGATTAGTCCCGCTGCACCTGGTCGGAAATCCATTCTCGGAGGCCGTCTTATCTTCCCTGCCTACAACCCTCCAATCTAATCGTGCAAAAGTGAAAGGGGGAGAAAAAAAGAAATGTAACCTTAGCAACCAGCTGCCAGGCTACATCTGTGCATACATTCAGATTACCTGCATCAAGCCAAATTTTATTGCAAGATAGCTATTTTTACCTTCAGTTAGAGACCTATAAACGTAGGAACCTTTGGAACTTCTTTGTGAAAAATAATGATCTATATGGATCATTCTAGAGAATTGGTCCAAACTCATTTCAGACTTTTAACTGACTTAGACTTTAGATTAAATCCTTTTGCTTTGAGAGACACTATAACTTTATTATGTTTATTTTAAATTATTGAACATTCTATTTTGTCTGTGCCAAAACAATCATAATACTATAAAACTTTACCAAACATTTCAGTAGTGACTGTTTCAGTAGTGACAATTTTAGCTAATTTTGAGCAGAACTCAAAAACGCTAACCAGTACATAACTAGCAAACACAGCTTTGAACAGCTGTACAATTGTAAAATCATAATATTTTTCATTAAAACACAAAAAAAGTTTATTTAATTGCAGAACATATGTACTTCAGGTCACATTTACTGTAAAACAATGGGATCTAGCGGCTCACCATGTGGCCATGAGAGGCAGGGACACAGTCTAATTTACTGCTCTAAAATGCAGGGCTATGGCTAAAGTAAAGTTCCGCCTATGAACTAAAACTAAACCGGAATTTTTTCATTTACAAACTAAACTCATGATAAATCTAAATCTTCCAATTTCAAACAAAAAAAGATTATATATATTTTTTTTAATGTCAAAAAAAATGTAAGCATTATTTTCATAAGCTGAAAATTAAGGAGGTTAGGGTTTGGGGCAGCCACCTCCCAATAGAAAGTACCCCATAAATTATTATTTCGTAAATAATTAACTTATTACTATCTGAATTAATGATTTGAGTTCAGACGGATCATAACATAATCCTTGTAAATATCTAAGGTCTGAATACATAATTGTTTTTTTTGTATTGAACTAATTCAGCAAAATGTTCCATATATGTTTGAGTGACATGAATATGGTGCTAATTCAGAATAATAAAATGGACCACCAGCCTCCTGCTGTAGCGTTACTGTAGCAAAAGACTCCTCGACCCACCTGCAGCTACCATTCAAGGCTATTTCCAGATATGTTAAAGGTTAGGAAATCATTATTACTTTCGAGCAAATACAGATTCTCTCATACTCATCTCCATATTGTTAATTTCAAGATATCTGGAACAGCATGAATAAATCAAAAGCTCATTAAAATTTTGCATTTAGGTTTATTTCCCAGACAATTTATAAAGCATATCAAATGGGAACAGGGAGGAGAACACAAATATAGCCTTTTTCCCCTTCTCAAAAGAAAGAACGCCAGACCTGCACATGCTCACAAAACGCACACAGACACCAAGCTCTGATTTCAGGTTACCAATAAGAGCCGAGCAAATAACAAGCGGATTAAGATTTTTAAAAAGCTGCAGCTTCACGCCACAACACGCCAAGGACACCATATCTGCCCTTTCTGCCTTATTTTCAATAACGCCACGACAATTTTTCTTCAGCTAATAAGCTTCTTGGGCTCATAGATAGGCTGGGTGTTTTCAGCAAAGCCATGCATTTTCTTCATCCTTGAGTGAAAACAAATGTTTTGCTTTTTTCCATTTCCATCGGCGCTGCAATTAAAAGCAGAAAAACAGAGCAGTGTGAGGCTAGCACATCAGCATATTGCATTTTACCACTTTAAAATCAGTCTCTTCACAATGGCGCAGATTCTCACTCACAGGGTAATCAAATGAAATGTGACAGCGGAGCAGCAAAGGTTAAAAGCAATGAGCAGAAATGGGCAGGACAGTGGTGGACATAGCAACAAGATGCAGAAGGAGAGAAAAGAAAATTTAACTGGCCAGAGCTCAAAGTACAGCACAGCTGAAATAAGAACTGTAAGCCACAAAAGTGGCCTCAGATCTTCTCCTCAAAGAGAAATCGCACAATAGATACATGAACTGCAGGTACTTCATAAAGCAAATACAACAAAGAACACTAGTAAAATATAAACGTACGTTTACAAAACCATGATGCCTGACAAAGTCATTACAGCACTAGAAAATTACCACTGAAAACTGAATATTACATTTGTGCCATAAATTAAACAGTGACTGCTTTCAACAGAAATACTTCAATGTGGATTATGGCACTGGGTACACAACAAAGTGCTTTCAGAGCTATCTTTCAGCATCAACGTGTATGACTAATCCTGTCCTGGACTGTCCTAGATGTATGATTAATCTTGTTTACAGGTAAACCATGGATATACCTCTATATTTGTTTCAGCAGAAAACATCTGTAGTGTTATGTTCTGTATGTAAACTGTCTTTTGTGCTCTATATAAATAAATAGATGACTTATTAGAGTCCACAAATGGATGTCTGGTCTGATCCGCCTCCGGTCCTCAAATGCAGCCCAGAGAATGCGGTTGTGCCTCGGGGTACAACGGCAGAAGAAACAGTTGTATAGCATCCATCACTCCGCTTGAAGCATGGGCTTTTATGTGGAACAAATGTTGATGCATTACAACTCGCTTTTCCCTGCCTCGTGTCGTGGGGAAAACACAGATGTGTGTTAGTTCTGACCTGATGCTCTAGGCTATGTTGTTGGATAAAAGCACCTTGGAGCAGTTTTGCTGAGGAGAATACGGCCCAATCTGTGCTTTCAAAAGTGGGTTATGTACCCACTTAGCTGGATTCATTAGTTTCTTCTGTTTACAGACAGAGAGGGCAAGTTGTTTTATGTAATGGGGATGAGCAGAGGACACTGGAATTCTCTAGAATGCTTCTGAGCTACTACAGAAAGAACAGCTGTTGCCGTTGCTTCCGCCATCCAGCAAGCACTGTAAATTACACAGTCAGAATGGTCCGAGTCTTTGCATTTGACAGCAGAGCTGGTGTCTCATTAGCTGGTGGAAGGACATATAGCTCTTCTGGATCCTCTCTGAAATGTGAAGTGATTGCAAAAGGCAAGTTTATCTTTCAGGTAAGAGCTGTAAAGTGAATAAGTCTGACCCCCATATGATTTTCTTTGAAGTGCTTTTAGAGCAGAGATGGTGGAGGGAGCTACACTGTGCTGTGGATCAATTCTCTAGCATTCTGCTCAGCAGGGCCATGTGTAGGCTTCTTCTCATCACAGGGCACTACAGTCTTCTCTGTGCTGGAGCTTTTAATGCCTGGTGTCACATTAGTAGTAGCAACACTGACCATCTCCAAAGTCTTCCCCAACATCTTCTCCAAGCCTGGACCATTCTCTTCTTGTTCCATCCCTTTTTCATCGTTTTTAAAGCTGCCAAAGTCTTTTTCGTCTGTGGTTGCTGGATCATTTTGCCCCTCACTTGTATCAATCACATCCTCCTCCTCCTTGAAAATGGGCTTATCCATGTCGTTGTTGTCAACACACGTGCTCTCTGTAGCCTCTCTTTCTTCATCCAAAGCGCTGTCTTTGCTGTGTTTCTGGTCAGCGGGGCCTGAGCTGATGTTCCTGGCCGTCTCCCTGCTGCCATTGCTGGTGTGAATGGCGCGAGGGTCTCTGGCCACGCTGCAGGCCGTGTGGAGGGTGGAGAGGGTACGGTGGTGGCCGGTTTGCCTCTGGCAGCGGTACAGCCCACGGAACGCAGAGCGGAACTTCTGGGACATTAGGTTGTACACCACAGGGTTGATGGCGCTGTTGGCGTAGATGCATGTCCGGCAGAAGAGCAAGAACCAGGCGTCCAGATATGGCGTGCTGACGAAGGAGTTGATGAGCACCAACGTTCTGTATGGCATCCACAGCAGGGCAAAAAGAACCACCACCACAGCCAGCATCTTAGTGACCTACAGAAAGCACATGTGACATGGTATACGTTTATTTTAAAAAATAAAGGTGAAGGTGACACAAAGGGTCTGAATGAGTGGGTTCAACCAAGGAATGGGTCAGTGAAAAATCTAATTTACACAATTTTCCATTTATCCCAGATGTAGTTGGTCAGCCAAGACATGTTTAGTGTCCAAATTTGGTTCTTTAGTTCAGTGCAGGAGCTACTGGGCTGATGTTGCTAACAAACACTAGAAGTCAACAGACAGCAAAATCTTTTTTCAAATCAAACTCAAACCACTCAAACCACATTAAGATATTCATTACAGTCATGCAGACTTGTCAGTGTGGTTTAGGGCACAGTATGATCTACTGTAAACTATAAAATTAGCCAAATTTCACAGTGTAGCTAAACACTAAATGGCAACAGGTGTTGTGCCAAATACCAACTCCCCTTTGTATGCATGCAGATCATGCAGCCATATGGATACCATATTTGTGATTTCTGTAGTTTCTATTTATAAGCATATATCTTCAGTTTGAAAATTCAAGATTAAGAGTTATTTATAAAAATGAAACAACAGAAATTGGGAACATAATCTGTAGCATCCGCATACCTGAGTGATGTGCAGTCAGATTTTGGCACAACACCTGTTGTCTACAGTGGTTGTCCACTGTGTTTATCTACATGTTCATTTTTATAATGGGGATGTTTTTTTACAGAGAGGATTTTGGCATCTATTGACTTCCAGTGTTTGTTAGCAATGTTAGCCTTGGAGCTCCAGTGTTACACAAAAGAAGCAAAACTTGGACACCAAACGTGTTTCGGGAGTCTGACTACATCTGACGTGGAAACTTGTATATACCTTTCCTTTAAAGAATCATCAATTGATAGGATCTTTAGAAAAGTAAAAGTGGTAGGCATCACACCAAATAACCCTTTTAGTCACCTTTACTTTTAGGAGAGCTTCTGGATGTTGATATATGGACTCTGACACTACAGGTGAGAAAGACAGCAGCAGGCAGTTGTCAGAGTTTGTGAGCAAGTAATACACACAGAAGTCTGTAAAGTCTATTACAAACCACTTTCAGACTGATAGCTAAATATAACTGCTCTACTCAAAGTGAAAACACTAAGGCTGAGGGCAGAGAGCATTTTTCTTCAACGTTCAGCCCACTGGAGCTAAGCAATGGTCATTTTTCAAGGCAGAAACTCTACAGATTGTTTTGTCAGGGCTCTGAAGTTTCTTAGCAGAATATTTTAAACATGGGAAGCCATGGTGGATAATGAACATCCAATTCTCGGCTTGGGCAATAACCGGTGATTACCGGCTGTGATCGGCTCTGAAAATGACTCTGGGCAGCTGTCAGTGACCAAAGCCGCGCTGACCATCAAGTGCATCCGGAGCGCCAAGCAGGACTAAGCTGCTCAGCATTTTAATGCGACAACTGTGTTTACAAATGCTATTTGTTCTACTGTCTGGACACTTGGAACCCTCTCTGATCACTCCAACAGACAGTTCAAATGGCCAGAATTCCTTTGAACAGATGACTCTGACAGCAGGCTTAAAGCTGATCTGCTAACAATGACCGCCTGTCCATCACACAGATCACACACTGCTACTTTTTCAGGTGATGAGAGGAATGTCACTGCAGTCTATTGAGAGCTACGAGGCACCTCTATTAAAGCCTGTGATATTACACTTTACAGCTCTGGTACGAATAAGTGCTCAGCCCTTTTTGTACTATTAGTCATGAGTGAAGGGAACTGTATTTAATTATTCACACTTGAACTATCAGTTAACATTTCTGAAACTGCGGTAAATGCATTCACACACCATACACTGAGCAATAACACAGAGTGTCCATGGTGAGGGAGGCAGATGGGATTGCCAGATCAGGATGTTTTGAATGTAATAGCTTGTATGTAATGCAAGCTATTACATTCATGCATTTAATGCCGCATTAAATTAAGAATAATTATTCATGAAAAAATGAATTAGTAAACCTTGCCTTACTGTTTGGTTATTACAGCAAGACTGGCGTAGCATGCTTGAATGCACTTCTGCTAAATCTCTGTACAGCATATAGGGCTTTGCATGCTTTAATTAAAAACATAAGTGGTCAGTCTTCTATTCCCAAACAGCATGTGCATGCATAAGCGTTTCTGGGCATATGCACCCTCCAAGGTGGAGGAATTTATACCTGAGAAAAAGAGAAAGAGAGAGAGAGAAAAAGAGAAAGAGAGAGAGAGAGAGAGAAAGAGAGAGAGAGAGAGAGAGAGAGAGAGAGAGAGAGAGAGAGAGAGAGAGAGAGAGAGAAGCCCATTGTCATACACCCTGTAGCTTTGTGGCCATGGTGACAGTGCATTACAGCGGCAGGGTAGAACCCCGGGGAGAAGGCTCTAATAGAATCACCGTCAGACTCCACTGTTCAGTCTTTCAGATTTGCCACTCGCAGCCAATAACGCAACCTTCGCCCGTCCTCTTGTCTCCTTTGTTTGTCTGAATAACAAACACTTTTAACTGAATTACTTTTAGGCCTGTTAGAGCATGCCATCCGTTTTAAGGCCTCACTTGCATTTAATAACAGAACAATGCCCTGGAGGAAAGACACAGTTGAACAAACACTACATCTCTTTATTGACATATGAATAAAAGGACCCTCCGGGGGCTAAATGCTATTTATCATCCTACACAGGAGATAGAGTGACAACTGGCAAGAGAAAGCGAGAGAGACCTTCAACGATCGTGACAAATTCTCAGCACGACCACGCGCTCTCTAATTGAGGCGATGCGGGCCTGGGAGGAGCTTGTTTAATTAACGGAGCAGTGAGATAATGAGCGTGACTGGCAGTGACATTTCGAAAAATACATCTGCTTATTGGGATTCCTCATCAGCCAGAAACAAGGTCTTAACATGACACAAACAAAGCAGGCCGCTCCTCACGATTAGGTCACATAAAGAGGCAACGGCTGTCGTAGCGACGTTGCTATCAGATCGGCAGCACAGATAACTTCACTCAAACCTGCAAATTAAGCCCATCCACTGTAGTTCTGTGGGCATCCTGAAGCTTACTGAACTTCATGAACTGTTGAGATAATCATGTGATCAAAGGGGTTGGGAGGTGTGGGTGGGGGAGTGGGAGAGAAGAAGTGAGGAGAACAAAGTGGGAGAGCGAGGGAGTGTTTCTTCATGATCTCCGAGAGCAGAATCATCAGCAGCATTAAGCATACTTCAGCGAGCGCCACAAATCATATTATGCAAATCTCCTTCTCAAGTGGAGCCCTCTTGAATCTTCAAGATTCTGATCTATGCCACACACGAGTGAGTGAGTGAGCGCATACACACACACAGACGTGTCAGCCGAAGGAGCAGCACTCACGCTCTCGCACATCCTCCCGCCCACACACGAGGTCAGTGACAGTTCTGGTAACTCTTCATTGAAAGAATGACAGCTGCTGTGAAATTTATGTCTGAGCTCCACAGCCCTGAATAGCCATTAAAGGCTGGGAATCATCAGAATAGTTATGGATATAGCCTCTAGTAGCTGCAACCCTGCCAATTTATTATATGAGCCAGGCCGTTATGTGCGTTTGTGTGAAATGCCTGCAGCAACATGAGTGTATGGACAATTCTAAAGTATAGGCAACAGATTTTATTTTATGTGCACAGCAGGGATGAGTATGTGCATTCGAACATACTAACTCATCTTAGCACTAACTTACTAAACAGAATATTCAAATAAAGCACATGTAGTTTGGAACAAAAAAATTAATCTTGTATTATCTAGTCATTTTAATTACAATTTAGTAATTAGAAACATAAAGAATGTCAGGACACCAGCTGCTTGACTTGCATCTCAAGTGTAGCTAAGCAGATTAAAGCAGTAATACATTAAATTTACCTAATTGAAACGTGTACATCATTTCCCGTGATTGGTCTAACAAAAGAACAATTAACAAAAGAATCAGGTATGGATCGAATCTTATTCAAGGCTGGCTTTGCACAGTGAAACTTTTATGCAACAAGATGCTTGCTGTGAGTTGCCTGCAACATAATTTTTGTTCTGTGTTTGTTACACCCTTGGAAATAAATGTTTAAGTAGCCATTACACTTCCAGCCTACTTTACGTCTCACTCACGCTGTGCTTGAAGATCATCAGAAGTTCACCAGTGGTTTGAAACTATGTTGGTGGATGTGTTCGCATGATGTTTCATGAACTGCTGCGCCTGAGATTCAGGACAATTTACATTATGCAACTCAAGTGCAATTTAGTATAAGGTTCAAGTGACTAGAGTTGCATGAAAGTTTCACCATGTGAAGCCAGCCTAATGAATGAATGATGAATATTCAGAGACAGCAGCCTATCACGCAAACGCTCCCTAACCCTGCCAATTAACTGCACGCTCATGAGGCACATTGTTCCAAAGGCACAGTTAATAATAATGGAGCCATCAACAAGCTTAAGACAAAACAGATAATGAAAGTTCAGTGACAAAGACAGAGTGGCGCTAATTAATGAACTTCTTTCCCAACCAAACATTCTACAGTGGTGTTATTTTACTTCGGCTATGAAAATAGAGCTTGTGAAACAATGACATGGACTATGAGTGCATGTGGTGGTCGCATCACAGTATATTTTGGGCCACGTCATTGCACCACTGCCATTATTAAAGTAATTCTCAAAAAAAGACACCTTTTGAGACAATAGCACAAATTCACACATAGTTTTAAAAGGTGGAGGAACACTGACTCAAAATGTGCGTCAATTTCGTACATAATAGAATGCGTCTAAATTGCACCTGAAACTAAAGCAAAAAACTTTGCCAGATCCTTTCTGTGTACTTTTTTATTAATAACAACATTTTCGATATGCAATTTGTGAGCACAGACATCTCTAAAATTTCTACAGCACACTGTCCATGTCTATAGTGTTAGCAGCTTACCAGCCCAGCTGCTAGTTGAAAGGCAGACAGTCTCTGATTGCATTTAATATCTCTGCAGGCATGCTAAAGATCAGCTATAATAAAGGAAGGTAATCAACTTGTTAGAGCAATAGAGCAAAGCCGGCAGAGTATTCAGTTGCGGTGAGGGTTCACTCACAGAGAGTAGTTAGAGAGCACTGCCACACTGAGGCAACCTAGGTCACTTGATGGTGCGCTGCTTCTGTCTCTCAGAGTAACAGATTTTGTAATCATTTTTGGTTTTCTTTTTTCCAAGAGATTCTAGTAATGAACTGTGCCAGGACACAGGATACTGCAGCTATTCCTACATTCTTACAATAAGAGCAGCCCTACAGTCTTCTCTAGGGACAGCTGTATTGAGGTGATTTGAAAGTATTAGGTTATGAAGCAAGAAGTCATAGGTCTAGTCCTTCAAGGTCCCCCATAACGTATATACTTAGAATAACTTTTTTGAAACATTTTGTTTGATTATGTCTCATTCACACAGTACTGTGCAAATATCAGAGACCACCCAGCAGCTATTTAATTTCCAGTCACAACTACCATTAACTACAAGTTATTCTTTTTCAGAGTCAGGAAAAAAGCAAGAAAACATATTTAAGAGAAAATTACACAGCAAGGATTTTTTATTCAATCTTAGAAGTTGGTTGCATTTTGCTCTTTCTATGATTCAATTAATCCCAAACATATTCAGTGATGTTGAGGTCTGGATGCTGGGGTGGTCAGTCCATTGTTCTGAGAACAAATTTTAATCGTTTTTGTCTATTTCCTTTTCTCAGTAACAGCTTCCTGACAGCTACACATCCTTTCAGATCCACAGTGTTGAGTTGTCTTCTCACAGTGGAAGGATAGACAGAAACACTTTTCAGATCTGAAGCAAGAGTGGATCTTTCAAAGATGAAAGCTTTAAGTGCTGTTTACCTGACTGTAACATTTTCTGAGGTCTTTTGGCAGTTGTTAGGAGTCTTAGAAGTTGTTAGGAGATTTTCTGTTAATACAGAATGTAAATGTTTACTTGAATATGTTATATGTTACTTACACAGTCTCCTCAAAAGAATTGGAATGGCAAGGCAAATTCTTTTGTTTTGCTGTACATTGAAGACATTTCAGTTTCAGAAAAATATATGAATTAAACAACTTAGAACATGGCACCTTTGCTGGCAGATGACCAAAGTTTTAAGTAAACAAATGTACAAGAACAGACATTCTTAAAGTAAATAACACTTAATATTTGGTGTCCTTGATTGGTGGGTTGTGATACCTTCACCCCTGCCCTGTGAAGATTGTTGGTGATGTCTGTTGTTTGTGATGTCAGGTTGTTAATACACCAGTGGTCTCTTTCTTTTTCAGGACATTCCATATGGTTGTACTGGCTAGGCCCAATGCTTGTGCAATGGCCCAATCTCTTCTAATCTTCAAAATGGTTTGCTTTTCTCCCAGAGGCAGCTTTCTGGTCTTCATGTTGGTTTATCCAATTTAACAACAAGTGTAGTCTTCACAGGTGAAACCCAGGGCTCAAGAGTAGACATTATTCATAGTTTTTAAAAGGTGGCATAATCTAAAGGCTTGCTGTTCTAATACTTTTGTATGAGACTGTATTTTACTTAAATTATGTTGTGGCATCTAAAATAAGTATGTAATGTAAAACAAATGTATAGCAAAACAACAATATTAACTTTCATGTGGGGCAAACTGGTTTTATGCGAGCTCCTATCCATATTGGTTCTCTAGTCACAGGCCGTCAATTGTCAATATAAAATCTGTTCTTCAGGACTATAGACGTGTAAAGTCATTCTTTTGCTAAGTATTCCACACAGATAAACTAGGCAGGACTGAATTATTCAAGATCTGAAGTCCCACAAACAAAGTCTGTCTTTGTTTTTCAAGGAAGTGATGAAGTAGACAAAATTCTTAGGAGATACATTTGCAATATTTATGGCAAAAACTTGGGAGACAGTGGATGGCTCTGTATCTATAATTTACAAATCAAATCTTTGCATTTTTAACTGTACCTTGTTTTTGTGGCCAAGTAAAATACCAAAAGACAACCCTCTCCACATGGTGATATTTAAGGGAGCTAGCCCCATGTTCTGTGCAGGGAAAAAAGCCTGACCTGTGACAGGCTGCTACACGTACAGGATGACAGTGCTGCCCTGCATTTGCCCTTTAGGGATCCCTCACAATCAGGAGAAAAAGCTCTCTTAATGAACCCAGCACGACACATGGCATCTCACTGTGAGGGCGGCACATCTGTGGTCTAACTTGATAAAAGCACTGGGTGTAGGACACAGATGGAGTAAAAGATATATTTTCACACACAGCTCATAATATCGGTTTGTTAATCTGTTTTTGTATTGGAGGTAAAATGTCTTATGTACAGTACTGAGCAAAAGTCAGAGCCTTTATTTATTAAATTTCCAGTCAAAACAGCCATTGTCACACAGGGAGAGGCCCCAAATATTCTGTTGTATCTCCCGTTAGAATGAAACAATCTGAACCAAAAAAATATACTACATACCTTGATGTATGTGTAATCGATTGCATTACATGCAAAGCTGGAATTGATCTCCGTTTTCTGCCAGACACATGAAGGGGTACGGGGTATGCACCTGGAAGTTGCAAACGGAGGTTAAACGTCGCGACGGCTGTCCGGCGCCTACCTCATCTACCTCGATGCAGGGGCATCCTGGCTTGTTCGAAGCTCCATATACTGAGGAGCACATTGCACGTTGTTTCGTTCAGATTTCTTCGTCCTAGTGAGAGTTATTACAGAATATTCGGGGCCTCTTTCGAGTGAGTCTCCCTGTATATATTATATATTATAGTTAGTCATATTTCAGGAGATATTTGTGAGATTAGATGTAAAATAACCCATTTGCATAAAGAAGGGGAAAGTCAAAGTCAAAAACAAAGTGAAAAACTAGGAGTTTTATTTCTGAAGATATAAACCACTAGAATTGTTCCCATCAAATAAACAGTACTTAAAGCTTTCATCTTTGAGAGAGAGGAGAAAATCAAGCTCCACCTTTGCTTCAGATTTGAAACAAATCCACAGGTGTTTCCGTCCATCCTGCCACTGTGAGAAGACAAGTCAATTTCGAAAGTGTATTTATATATCTCTAATAAAGGTGGTATTTATCATATTGTAGCACTGATATTTTTTGTATGGGTAAAGCTCACTCCTTACAATACCATGAAAAAAAGAAATGTCTTGAAAGTGGTCTATAGTAGGTTTTCAAACGAAGGCTTTCATATATTTTCTACTTTTATTCCCTGATGCTGAAAAATGAACAAGTTGTACTTAATGGTCATATTGTTGAGGTTGGTGATACGGCAATAATGTCATTTCTTAATACATGTCACTATTTTTTTCCTGGCATTTGATAAGTTGGAACAGACAAAGGAAACTCCATATTTAAAAAACATTACCAAAACTAGGAATCCAATAATTTGTATTCAGCATTTTACATACTATGGTACTCTAAATCCTATTAAACAGGACTAATTATGCTGTCTTTGTAATCAAGCATGTAGGTGCAAGTGTACTGATTATATCCATGATATGATCATAAAAGCACACTGTTACATACTGTGATATAATTTATCACAATAACAATAAATCTTGCTATAATGCCAAGCGCTATCGTGTTGACTGGGAATTAATACATGAAGGGTTGTCTCTGATTTTTGCAGAGTACTAAACCAAAAATCCTCATAAACAGAGTTGGAAAAAAGGGATTGTCTAATGGTTGCCGTATTAATTGAATTACCATCTCAATATAAATGAAGGACAGACAGACGCACCTGCTTCCGAGATGAGAGGGCACTTTTAGGCCTCCCCTGACGACCTCCTTTGGCTGCGTCCACTGGCTCCTTGCAGCTCCTCCTGAGGGTGGTGGCTGTGATGGTGCTGGAATCGGGCGGGTGAGGCAGGGGGCTCAGGTACAGGATCCGAGCGATGAGGCCATAGAGAGCAATGGCCAGTAGCAGGGGGATGACATAAAAGATGGCGAAGTCAATGAGGTAGATGGGCAGGTAGAGGTCCCGGGAGACGCGGTAGCCACACTGCACTCGTCCATCACTGTTCACCTGGATGTCCACTAGGAAAAGCCAAAGCATGCAGTAGACGCAGGTGAAGGCCCACACCCCTGCAATGATGCGCTTGGCCCTGGAGACCGTGCACACTGTCTGAGCCCTCATCGGGTGACAGATGGCTATGTATCTGAAGTGGGAGGGGAGAACGAGACAAGAATAACAATTGATGCAGAGTTGACTTATTACAGCGAGTCTGTAGCATGGAAACATTTACGCTGATGCTGAACTCAATAGACTGAGTGTATTTAAACCTCATTATCTGTCCAGCCCTGACCTTATCCCGAATTAAGCACAAAGACCTAATAACCCAAGACCTGTCCAAACGACAACAGATACAAGAGCAAATCTGATAAGACGTTACCCAGTGACATTTACACAGCCAAAAGAGCTGTAGGCTGTATTTTCCAAAGACTGGCTTAGATTTTCGTTTAACACAAGCCAGTCTTTGCCAGCCCTGCTCCTGAAGTAACCCTGCCCTGCATAGTTTGGTGTTTTCCTTGCCCTAACACACCAAAACCAACTAATCAGCTAATTAATAAGCCATTTGAGTTGGAGTGGGGGGTGTTAGAGCATGGAAATCTCTCAAATGAGCACAGCAGGAGTAAAAATATAGACTCCTAAATGGTTCTTGGCTTGTAAGCGGGTTGTAGGAAAAACTTTCAATTAATACAGTACCTTTACATTATTGGAGGTTCTTTAAAATTTAAAAAGGTTTTCCTCAAGCATACATCCCATTACAATTGTTTACAACTTATTAAAGAACAATCTATCCAATATCACTCTCCCCATTTGCACAGCCCTCCCTCAAAAGCCTATGCTTGAGGAGGAGAAGCAAGCATGCAGAATGCATCATATTTGCGGATGAAACCGGTACAAATATCTTAATAAGTCAGGCTTATAGTGCTTTCACTTGTCGGTGAGTGCCTGCTTTCCTGGCTTGTTGATGATATAATATGATCAGTGATGTAATTCTATGCTGGCTAAGAAAATAGAATTCGTGAAACAATGCACCGCATCTTCCTGCCACCACAAGTTGCTCAAACTTCAGTAAATTGAGCGGAAAACGTAATCAGCCATTTCAATATCTCTGCGCATTTTCTGTATGATCTTCCTTTGTTTTGCACAACCCTCCTTCAAATGCACATGCATGAGTAAGAGCAGTGCATTTTATTCAATTTTCCCATAAACGGCTTGCTGTGCAGATGGACAGAACATGTCTGAAACTGCTGCAAATGTCTTAACACATCAGGCCCAGCATTCCTGCTCTTCTGACTTGATGACATGACACAGCATCAATATTTAAAGAATCATCATGACTGGTGATATTTAAGTGGTATCAATACGTTGTAGATACAAACTGATGTACTGCTTACCTCTCCACGGTGAAGGCTGTGATGGAACAGGAGGAGACATTGATGCCCAGGTACTGCAGGTAGGTGATGCCCAGACATCCGGCATGGCCATACACCCAGGTGGCCAACAAGCTCTCTGAGATATTGGGCAGCCCCGCTGCCACCAGCACGGTCAGGTCAGCCACCGCCAGGCTCACCAGGTAGCAGTTGGTGGGTGTTCGCATATGCCGTGTAGTCAGAACCACCAGGACCACCATTACGTTGCCCACGATTCCCACACCGCACACCAACAGTACCAGGAACACTGATACAGTCTTATACTCCAGAGACTCGGACACCCTATCCCCAGAGCCCAGCAGGGAAATGTTGGACACTGGGCTACTGTCCATCTTGGAGCTTGCATTTTCCACCATGTTTGAGTGTGCTTGTGTATGGATTCAATTCAGGAAAAACGTGAGGGAATGAGGAGGAGAAATGGAAGTGTGAGAAAAAAAAGGAATCAAGGAGGGGAAAAACGTGGGGGTGGATTGCAAAAAAGGTGTGCTTGATTATATCCTCTTCTTGTCACTCTCAAAAAGTGTCTTGTTCTGTTTGCTTGAGTACAGTAGCAGTGTTTTCCTGTGTCAACCTCCTTTTCATTATTTCCTATTAGACTTCTATAATTCCATTAGTGGCAACACATTTAAATGCTGTAGCTAAATCTCTTGTAGGCTTGTAGGCCTCTTTTTTTTGCCTCTTAATGCAATTGCCCATCCGAACGATCCCCCTGAAAATACAGATTGCAATAGTCAATGGGCAAAATGCCAATCTCCAACACTGTTAAGAGGATTTCACAGTCCTGTGCTAATTGCTCAATAATTGCACACATGTCCACCTCCTCTGGCATAAGTAGATAAGTGATGTACATATAACAGTGGATAGGAGACCTCCTCTAGCTTGCAGCATGCTGAAACAGCACTGATTAAAAAAGACAGAATGCAGGCATAACATCTACCTTTCTCTCTCTCACTCTCTCTTCGCTCTGCTTTGCCTCAACACCTGCTGGAGTCACAGTGTGTTTTAGGAGAAAACTCTGCACACATTATCAACCCATACAGATGATAAGCTGCCACAGCAAATTATTCAAATGAGACATTTTAGTGGTGTGCTGCATTAGGCTGCAAAAAAAATAGTCTTGAAAGTCTTAAAAACACAGAGCTGCCACTGCCAATCTGCTCATAGCAGCTGTTGAAATGAAAGGCAACTGTTTCAAAGTGTGTACACCCACTTATGGCAGTGTACGTTGTATAAAACGAACATTTGGTATTTGAAATGGTTTAAAAGTATGACTGTCAAAGTCCACTCTGATATAATAGTAAAAAACACTTGGTCAAGGAAAATGAAGTTTTCAAGTTAATTTAGGCTTGTTAGCATACATTGATATCTTGTCAACTACTGCTGTTGTCAGCCGCCTCTGTTTTGACACTGGGGCGCTCCTAATAAATTGAGGTGGACACAAAATGAAAAGTAATTCAATTCGAGCTTGCCGTCTCTCCACCTCTCTCATCTAGAAAAAAAAATAAAATAAACAAACAAAAACTTCATCTCACACAGTTCCATTTTCTCATTATGATGCATTTGGGGTGGTGCAGATATTGCACAGCAGCTCTCTCGCTGTGTGTGTTCGTGTGTATGTGTGTGTAGACTCACTATTTCAGTGCTGTGTTCTGATGTAAAGACCAAGGCTACAGTTACAGTTGACGAATGTTGCTACGTTAATTAGGCAACCTGTCCGACCTGCAATGCTTCAGTTATTAATTATCTATGTTTCATTTATGCTTCATTTATTAACGTTTCAGTTCTGCATTATTATATCATTATCTTTACAGTTAAGTCCAAAGAAGAAAAGGCCTCTTATAAAATGCAATAACTAAGTAAATTCACTAATACTTCAGGTTATCTTTCAATACAAATAGTTAAAGCAGCGTTTGTTATCACATTCTCCCTCTTCATCACAATGGCCTGCCCTAGTGCTAAACGCACTCATTAAGTCAGCAGCTGTCCTCTGAAGAGCATTTTCTTGCTGTGCAGCGATGATGAGTCTGATTCACAGATTGGCGTTGATGGTGAGGGCCAGGCGTGCTGATGAGAGCCTGTGATATGAATTAAACTGTCACTCACTTGGTCAAGCTCTCCTCAGTGAGTGAATCACAAGCAGAATCATAAAGTCGCTGAGACCCCCAGAGCATCTCTCTCTATTTCTCTGCCTGTCTCTCTATCTCCACCTGTTTCTCTCTCTTTGTCTCTTAGTGTCTCTCTCTCTCTCTCTCTCTCTCTGTATGTCTCTCTCTCTTTTCTGTCTCTTAATCTTTGTCTGTCTCTTATTTTATATTCCTCTCTTTCTCTGTCTGCTACTGTCTGTCTTTCTGTCTCCACCTGTGTGTGCCTCTCTCTTTCTCTTTCAGTCTCTTAGTGTATCTGTTTTTCTTCCTCTCTCTCTCTCTCTCTGATTATCTGTATGTCTCTCTATCTCTTTTCTATCTCTCAATCTTAGTCTCTCTCTTATTTGTATACTCTCTTTCTGTCTGTCTCACTTGGTCTCTCTCTGTTTATTTGTGGTTTTCTCTTCGTAAATGCATCTCTCTCCCTGTCTCTATCTATCTATCTATCTATCTATCTATCTATCTATCTATCTATCTCTATATATATATATGTATATATTTATATATGTATATGTCTCTCTCTCTGTCTTTGTTTCTCTCTCTGTCTGTCTATGTCTCTCTGTTTATTTCTCTCTACATACCTGCCTCTGTTACGATGACATATCTGTGATGTCACTTCAGTAAGCTATGCATGATGTATATCAAGTCTCTTTATATTGCTAAGGACTGAAATAAGCAACACACAGAACAGTAGGATATCAGTTAGTACTAACACAGATAAACACAGCACACTTTCAACAGTTGGTCTGAAAGTCCGAAAAGCACAGCTTGATAATGAACCATTAAACACGAGAGGAAGTACTAAATGTTTGAGTCGTAAGAAGCACCACGCTGTACTTTCCCTGATAATTTAGATAAAGATGGAATCTAAATGTTACTCATCTGAAATTAATCAGTCTTTTAAAAAAATAAGGCAAAATTCGACTAATGAACTTTAGATTTTTTAGTAAGCGCACAAATTTTACAGTTATTAGCAAGAAAAAAAATATTTGTCACTGTGCGAAAAAAAAACAATACAAACAAAAATAAGAAGCAGTACTTTTTTAAAATATTATTTTCGGTGACAACTAACTTCAAAATAGCTCCAGCCAATAAAGCGTCTCTTACCATTTTCTTGTTCTTTGTGAGGGACCCATGCACTCTGTCCAAAGAAAGCTCTCTCGCTCTGTGCCGGTTGTGAAACCCAGATGTGAGAATGAAGATGTGCAGCATTTGCCAAGACAAGAAAAAAAACGCCTCTTCTAGCGGGCAGCAGAGGCGCTGAGTAACTGCGCTCCTGTGGCTGCGCTGGACGCAGCAGGACTGAATGGACGGGTGAGTTCGCAGCGCTGCAGCAGCGCCCCCCAGTGGTACAGCTCTCCAAGCGCTGGCCTTCACAGAGCGGTTGCGTCCAAGGTTTTTAAAAAAATATTATTTATTTCAGTAAAAACAAATAACAAAAATACATAGGCAAAATACACCTTCACAGCGCGCACACACGGAGAGTGTGTGAGTTTTGTTTAAAGTGACTGCTCAGGTTGGCCTCGTGTCGTACTTTGATGACGTTGTGGTAATGGCCGCTCTCACGGTGTCGTGCGGGGTTTATGCGTTTCTCCGGTAAAGAAAATCACAAATCGGCTCATTATTCATCGTTTAGATACCGTCACTGAGGGACAGAGACCGGGTAGCTCCCGACATCGAGACCCTGTCTCCGAGACGCTGTGGTTTGAAAGGTGACCGAATGTGTTTTAAGCGTTCTCAGGGCTTTTGGTTTGTTTTTTTGTGAGAGTGCGCTTTATTGTTGTTGGTCGAGGCGAGCCAGTGCGGATCAGAGCGCTCCGTCCCGCACAGCAGTGAGGCCAAACGGACCAGACAGTCTCGCTCTCGGTTACTTTACACGTCGTGCTTTAAGTTCACTATTGTGTTTGTGCCCGGCTGTGTGTCGATGAGCTCGGCTGTAGTAAAGTGCGGGCCGCTCTCTCTCTCGGGCCTGCTGCGCGGCCACCAGCGGAGCGACGCCTCCTCACTGGCTAACGAGCTAGCTAGCTAAGTTAAGCTAAGCTAGCCAACTAGTCGACTAGCTTGAAAATTGGTCAGTCGTCCATCTCATGAGTCGCTTGCCGTTAATCCGAGCAGGTAACCTCATTCCAAATGATTTGATACAATTAACTGTGTATTGCAAAGTGTGCATTATGTGCAGTTTCTGGATGCGGAGAGCTCGTTAGCTGGCTTCTTAGCTAGCTAGAGAGAGAGCTAACTAGCTAGCTAATGGGCTGTTCAACGGTAAAATTATTTTTGTCAGGGTCAGTATTAGCTTCGCCTAGAGTGGTGGTTTTGCAATACTTTAAAACATTTGTTAGTTTCACTTATTTAGTAGTCAAGTGAATCCGCAGAAGTCGCAGAATAAGCTTGTATTTATGTGAGAGTGCTTGCAATGACAATTTTGGCATGACTTGTTAGTCTTTCACACCTGGAATTAGTCTATAAGATTTTCTGCTTGTTTCTGTTAAAAATGTCTCCAATATAAATGTGGGCAACGTTGGAATTCAAGAAGACCTTTGTTCCCTGAATCTTGAAAGCAAATGCCTGCACTCACACTGAGTGGCATCGAGTCAGCAGAAATATATCCCCTTTAGTTTAGTTTTGTGAGGCTTCTTACTGTATAGATAGCTAACCTACATGAATTAATGGTGAAAGCTTGCTTACCCCTGATCTAGGGTCTGGCTTAAATCTGTGTCCCAAAAACAAGCCACTGTGTATTGAGGGCAACTAGTTGGCATTTATATTTTGCATGCCAAACTGATTGTGTGAATTCAAATGGTTGCAGATTGTGCTGATGGACACTCCTGAGAGCCCCACCCAGTCTCCACAGTCTCCTGAGGAGGAGGAGAAGGGCTTGTCTGACAGTGAGCTGCTCGAATCTCCAGAGTCCCCTGCCGAGGAGAACAACGCCGTCTCTGACAGTGAGTTACTGAATGATGAGGAAGGAGGAGGAGGAGACTCAGACTTTGATGATGAAGACAGGGTTGAGGTGGGCAGGAGAGCTCCGGAAGAAATATCCGATCAAGAAGACGACAAGATGGACAGGGATTCAGACAGAGAAATGTACCAACAGGAGCGTGCTGCCACTATGCTGGAAGACCGGTCACATATGAGCAGAACTCCTGAGCATGAAGAAGAGGAGATCCTGGAGACCCCCAGGTCACCAGACCCTGACTCACCAGAGCCCGAACAGGAGCAGCCCTTCACCCCTGCTGAAGAAGAGCAGGAAGATGCCAGGCGAGAGGAAGAAGAGGAGGAGGACAGAGGAGAGACAGCGGCTGGCTTACGCGTAGGTCGCCCAGAGTTGGAGGAAGAGGAAGATGATGAAGAGGAAAGAAGACGGAGGAGGGTGATGGTAGTCAGTGATCTGAAGGACGAATCATCCTCCGTGTCCAGAGAGCTGGATGAGCATGAGCTAGACTATGATGAAGAAGTACTTGAGGAACCTAACCCATCTGTTCCAGAGGAGGAGGACACAGAGAAAGGCCCTGGTACAGAGGATGGGGAAGCAGATGAGGAGGAAAAAGATGAAGAGAAAAGGAAAAAGAGTGAAAGGAACCCAGTCTTGCCACCAGACCAGAAAGACTCTCAGCCTAAAAAGCCAGAAGACCCAAGAGGCCAAGAAAGAGGCAGGAGGGATTCATTCCGTGATAAAAAGAAAGAGGAAGATGATGGCGAGATTGACGAAGGAGAAATTGACGTAAGTGTCCTTAGTTTAAATACAAAGTTTTTTATGAGTGATTTTAAACTGCTTTGGTAAGCAA